GTTCTCACCTACATCGTCCACAAGGGACGACTCGGGAACTCAACTCCTACCTCGGGCAGCTCACCTTTCCCCCTATGCCCAGGGGAAAGGTATCAAGCCGTTTGACAGCTGATGCAGGCTGTCAAACCGGCTTTTACGCGGAAACAGGCGGGAGCAGCAAACAGCTGCGTCCAGCGAAGGAGCCTGCCACCGGAAGTCAGTCCAGTGTTTCTCAATCTTGGCGACTTGAAAATGTGCGGACTTCAATTCCCAAAATTCTCCAGTTACCTAAGGTGATTGATCAAAGGTACATAATTAATAGACCATTCACATTCCAAATTTGTAAACAGAAAATAAAATTGCTTAGTGATTTGGGCTTCATAATGTTGGAACGAATAAACATTTTCACATTTGTCTTCCCCATTTTGGACTATTATACTCTGTTACTTCTGGCACAGCATAACCAGAATGCCAGAATGAGTTCTGCTGTTGCAATGATCGTTCTTTTTATCACCTGATGCTGTAGAAGCCTTATTTCCATGGGGAATCAAAGTTAGGCAAGTCTCTTGTGCCATTCCAATTCAACAACATTCTGCTTCAATAAAATGCCCATTGCTTCTAAATTGCTACACAAATTAACAATCTGCCCTGGGATCTCTATTGTACATTTTGTATTATTGAAATCCTTTTCTGCTGGCTCCAAATGTTTTATAATTCAGTCGTGTTAATTTAATATACCACACTGTTAGATTGTGGCAAACTGTTTTCTGTTTGTTTTTTTATTTGGGGTGTGCATCCTTATGGTTGTATCAGTGTAGTTGATAAGGTTACTCTAACATTAGTATTTGAGTATAGGATAGGGAAAACTATCTGCTGGGAAAAGTTATAACTGAACAAGATGTGTGTGTGTGTGTGTGTGTGTGTGTTTTTGCATAATGCAATACACACATATACATACACACACATATACACATATGTGTTATGCGTGTATACATATACTATATAAATATATAATGCAACTGTGAACTTTCCTGCAGGATTTCATAAACAGAGATAAATAAAATAAAATAAAACAAAGTGAAAATAAGTCAGGAAATATTGATAACCAAACAATTTAATTTGTCCATCTTTCCATTAGGTGGAAAGGGAAAAATTACATTTTTTAATAAAGTTTACAAGATGAAAATTACAGTCCAGAAGGGAGGAGAAGTTCAACCTCCTTTGTTGATCACTCTCTCTAGTAAAGACTATTATATGCTGGAACTAGTCAAGAAGAATTTCCTTACCTGGAGACTTCTGATCCCTTCTAACCTGGACTTCTCATTTCAGCCTATCTGGAACAAAATCAATCAATCAATCAATCAATCAATCATTTTAATCATCTACAAAATACAAAACTTATGAAACATTGTGTTGATCTTGAAACACAAAGAAGTATTTACTTGTTTTATTTACAAAATGCTGTGCTATTTTAAATAATTGAATTTGGGTGCTTAACGAAAAAAGATTAAACAGTCCATAAATGTAAACTGCACACCCTTGAACAAGCATAATGTAACTGAAATTGTTGATTCAGTAACTTAAATCAAAAGCCCACTTGACAAGGAGAGTGTTTAGAGCTTCCTGGGAACAATGCAACAAGGGTCCAGTCTTCCACCAAGAATGGGTTCCACAGCATCAGGGGAATCACAGAAAAAGTCTGTTTTCTAGTTCATGTTTGTTTCACCTTGATGGGACCTTGAAGAAGTCTTCCCTTGATGCACTTACAGGTTGGCAGAATCATTGGGGTATGACAGTCTCTGATGTAATATGGCACTCCATCATATAGGGCTCTAAAGGGGATAATCAGCACTTTTTCTGGATCCAGAAGTTTAATGGCAACCAGTGCAGCAACTGCAAAACAGGTGTAATGCTGCAATGGTGTGTTCCACCTACCTTTGGCCACTGCCTTTGTACCAATAGATGGTACAAACTTTCTGTAGATGGTATGATAGGATCCCATCCTAGTATAGATAGATATATAAAGTCCTTTGAGATTCCTTAGCAAGATCCATAATGGATAAAAAGCTGTGCTTCAAATTATCCATGACAGGAAAGTCTCTGTACAATGCAATCTACCAATTTCTTGAGTAGGTAGAAAGCAGACAATGATCTTAAACTGGGTTCTTAGTACTTCAACGTTTTGTTTGAATTTTGAAAAAATGTTTTGATTAATGCTGTAGGTTTCAGATTTGTAGATCTGTAGAAAAATCAGCATTTCTGTTCATTCATTTCTCACATGTGAAAGTTACGTGTAGTTTTCATATGTACTATTATTCATTATCCCAAATTGCTTTTGCGCCTTCCTTCCTCTTTGTTAAATGATTAGTTCAAGCCAAACTGTGTGATTAGGGCTTTTGAATCACAAAACAGAATTAATGATGAAGACAATCTCATGTATTTAAACATTATTCTTAGATTTGAGATAATACATGTATAAAAATCTTGTGTTTCTGTAGTGACCCAGGATCTAAAATTAGAAATTTCTTGATTAAAAACTGGAATATCAAAGATCCCGAGACCTCCCAGGATGAAGATGGGGAAAAATTAAAAGCTTTCTGTTTCCACTATTCCTTGGACTCAAGGCTGTCTTTGCCAACATCCGAGAATCAGATGGCTAGCCTTTCAAACTGTGTTGTGCAATTAAAAACCACGTGAGGTCACAGATCAAAAGAGCTGAGGAAAATTGGGACAGCCATTTCTTTTTAATATATTCTGGTGGTTTCCCTTTATATTAGTATTCTGTGGTTTTGATTCAAATGTTCTCTAGAATTTAAAAAAGAAACAAAACAAAATGTAGAATGCTCCCTTATACTGTATTCCAAGAATAAAGTGAAATTGTGATTAACTTTTTTCCCCACAATAATGTCACCATAGTTAATGCTAATGCTAGAGAACAATCTTCAATGCATTTTAACTCATGGAGCCCCAGTCTTTTCAAAGAAACTGTTGCTGGCTGAATGTTGATTTTTTTCTTTTATTGTCTCATTTGTTGACCATAAACAGTCCTGTCACTAATACTGTATGAACAGATAGAAGTGACTGTATGAATGGAAATATGAAGGGCTATTTCTGGCTATTTCTCTTGATTTCATCTCATTAATATTCTGGTAGAAGCTCAAGGATACTTTACAATATTGGCTGATCTAGTTGAGGGCATTCAGTATAGCAGCACTAATGGCTATACAAGCTTAAACAATAAACTACTGAAATACACCTGAGCAACTTGAAAACTTAAATTGCTTTTTGGAGTAAAAATAAGGGTTTGACTCTAAATTTGGCTTGACTGGCAAATATGGCTTTGGGGTGGCTAGTTTGTGCTGAGACAAATGATGACATGAAAAATGTTAATTTTTTTTGAGCAGGTTAACGTATCACTAAAAATGTTTAAATCTGAGGCAAAAAATTAAAGAAAAGAAGAGAGTGAATAAAACAGCCATGCAAGAGAATTGAATCACATTAAAAAGAAATGGCCACTCCAAATGCTTCCAGAGCAGAAATACATGGCAAATGGACCACTTGTTGACAAAGATACTTTTGCCTCCACGTCACATAATACTCAAGACTGATGAAAAATGTTATGAAAGTGATGAACAAGGAAGGTGAAGATTTTTGTTATTGGAGACAGATGTTTCCAAGAATAACCAATGCCAAGATTAAGGAAGACATTTTGTTGGTCCCCAGATCAGAGTTAGCATCTCAGTTCGAATAACTGTTAGTGGGGTCAGAGAATCATTCAAGGATCAAAAGCATTCAAGAACGTCCTTGAGAATTTTCTTGGCATCTACACAGCACCAAGCTACATCCAGCTAATTGACAAACTTCTTACAGCTTACAAGACTATGAAGCGCAACATGTCATTGATGATTCATTTTCTGCTTTCACATTTACACCAGACAACATTTTTTTTTGGCTTCATGAAAAACTTTTGGTGATTATGATAGATCTCTTCAAACTGAGTTTGAAGTCTATCATTATTACCATTTTTTTTCAGGAAGCTGAAAAAAAATGTTGTCCATGTAATGATAACAGCTTTAGTTTTCAAACCACTTTCTGCAACGATGCCCACAACTGGATAGGAAAAGAAGAACAGTACAATGTGACCAGAAGACGACTTGATGGATTGAGTCAAGTTGTTGACAATAATGTGTCAAGAGGTTGGCAGACACAGAAGAAATAGTAAATTGTGCAAAACCCGCCACGTGCCAACAAATTCACTCTCCATTTATCAATGTAATATGAAATTTCAACCAATATTTTGCCTGTTCTGCTCAAATAAGGAGTATATATGCAAATGCTTCAAATACTATTTACATTGAAATTTGCTCAAAAAAATTTATATGTAAATTCTGTAAGTTACAGCAAGTACTTTTTACAAAATATATGCCATACTGCAGCTTCTTTTATCTTTTTTGTCCAAGTAGTATCACTTGATTTTTTTCAACTCTTCTCTTAACTACATGCAGTTCACTTAATTGGCTGCCATTTATTGATTTAATCTATTACAAATATTGATATTCAAATAAGATCAGGCTGATGCTTAGATTCTGCTTTTTTTCCTGGTCATAGATGAAGTAATGTCTCCATACATTTTGTCACTTATTTTTCTGCTTGTGGACAGTTAACATTTTATGGTAATGTTCTTGCTATTAGCTTAACACTGAGTATATTTTTGCCTAAGTGGAAACTCAAATTATGAATTATATTGCTTTTAAAAGGTTATCAGTAAAGACTTTCCAAACTCTAATAATAGTTATTGGATTATATGAAGGAAGTTAGCATAGTTATGTATTTAATTCTTGCTGCAATTGTTTGAGAAATCAGATATATTGTGCTACATATGATGAAATGTCTCATATTTTCCCATTTGTTTTTAAACAATTGTCCAGATCATTTGGTAAAATGCTCAAGGAAGGCCTATATTTTATTTTTTACTTTACAGATTTTATAACATTTTCTTATGTAGAGAAAGGCTAGTTTCATATTAGTGTCATCCAGGAAAAAAATATTCACTTTGCCCAAGCATTTTTGCTCAATTTGATGAAAGAAAATGTTCTTTCCATTTTTTCAAAGGAGAAGTTTGGTGATATTCTCATGGGTGGAAAATAATGTTCTTGAAGACTTTTGTTGTTGTTATTAGATGGCTGAGGTTTTGCATTTTCTGTTTGTGTGTATGCACATGTGTGTGTGTAAATGTTTTGTTCTGCAATGTACAATTCTACATTTTGTTGCCACTTAGGAATCACATTTTGAGCCAAGTGACCCAAGTTTGGTTACATGATCATAGAAAGAACCCAACTATTGTATTTTCAAATCTGGATTGTAAGATCCCTTTTTTGGGGGGATCAATCATAACTTTGATCGGACACTAAGCATCTGGTCTTAAGTTGAGGACTCCCTGTAATGAAAAGTTGCTTTGTTCTGTATGTACTAGTGCAGTTGAGATTCAGAGATGAAATTCAAATGAAGAGTAGAAGCATAGAAGTATATATGACAGAAGGCACAGAGCCGGTCTCTGGTACCTATAACATTATTCAGTGGCAATCAGAAGTTTTTTTTTAACCCTTGTTAAGAAAGCAAATCAACAATGACAGAAGATAACAAGATACACCAAGTCTGCCTCTCTAGTATACTCAGACTGAAAATGTGGATAAGCACTCTGCATATTTCTCTCTGTGTGTGTGTGCACTAAAGCAAAGGAAGGGAAATTAATATTTAAATTTGAGCATTTTAGCCAATGCTGTATTGTCAGTAGAAGGCATCACTTCTATTATTAGCTTTAAATGAACCTGAAAGGAGCCAGCCTCAGAGAAAGTACCCTAGTCCTGCAGCCAGTTTAAATTAATTAAGCTCAAAAAAGCCCCTGAGACAACTATAGATGAAAATCATTACTTACAAATCATCTAAGACAGATGATTTCATTTCCAACTATGATCATATAAAAAATCTGTCTGCTTTTCTTTTCATAGC